ATTTTCGTATTTCAATAAGTGCTTTTGGACGAATTCCTAAGCGCCTACATTCTTCTTCCGAACCCTAAATATGTAACTTTACTGGATAAAGAAAGCCCCACACAAATAATAAGAGCCAGAAAAAACACATAAAAACACATGGAAACAAGCTTAACCCACGAACAATTTCGTGACCTATGTGCTAAAGAAAGAAAATAAAAAACAAAAAAGCCCGCCAAAACCTAAGACTGAAGAACTAAAAAATTAAAAATTAGCGAGGCGCCAATAGTAAGAAAGTACGCTCACATACATAACCCACAAATCAATCCACACAGCTACATTTCTTCTCTTTCGAAGAAAAACACTATACACCGCTCGCAGCTACAGCAAATCCCCTCAACCCGAGATATTTGCCTGGTGGGGTTCTGCCTCCCTTTTTTCCCATACCTAATAATACATAATACCTTTCTGATATGCAAATTAAAATAAAAAAGTTAATTTTTTTGCCGACAACAAATTACTAACTTTTGCTGCTTCGGCAGCCAAAACAACTCGCATAAGTACGGCAAGATCACCGAAATTACGAGCTTGTCCAAGAGGGCAGAATGAGAATCGCTGCTTCAACGATTCCAGCATAAGCGTTTGTGTTTGCTGAGGGTTTTCACCCCTGCAAAAAAGACGGTTATTTCCTCTAACACTAAAAAATTACAAAAAATTAAGAGTAACAGGGAAAAGAATAAGAAAATTTACCTTATCGAGTACAGTGGTATCAATGGTTCACGCACCGAAAGTGCAGCAACAAGGCAACAAGTATAAGCCAGCAGCGAATGTTGATTGGCCATAACAAGCATTTTCGCAAAAGCCGGAGAGAGTGGGAAAATAGCGAGTGTTTTGCCCAATCCATTAATTCGTGCTTCTTTCTAGGAAGAAATGAAAAATGGAATCATAAATCCCGAATTCATCTTGAAGCTACGACTTGTAGCCAGAAATCAAGTAGCACTACACTGTTATGAAATAAGGAACTAAAAGAAGTTATCAAGATCGCTGAGATTATCGTACTGAATAAGCTTCCTGCCCTTGGATTTTTTTTTTTCGCTGTTTCAGCGTAATACACCGAAATTTTCTTAAACAATCACTGTCTGAAGAGACTCGCCGCGTTTTGAAAAATCCACTAAACTTACATGAAAAAGCGAGGAGACAAGAATGTGTTGATCTATTAAGTTTTTGGAAGGTAACAGGGTAGGTTTTATTGTTTTTGAACTAATAATCTAATAAAATACTTAAAAACGGCTTAATCTATAAAAGAAAAATTACTAGCAGTTACACTGCCATTGGCCTGTTACTTAAACAAAAATAGAAGCGAAACGACCACGCAGCGATAAAATGAGAAATTTCTTTTTCGAATAACGAGATGAGTAATTCGAAAAGAAAGAAGCCAAAATACGGAAAACTGCTAAACTGTCCCTTAAGTTCTGAATTTTACTTTATTTTGCTCTTTGCTATTTCTATGTGATAAGCTGCTAAAAGATGCCTGGACTAGGAATTCCTGAGAAATGTTTTCATCAAAATGCATTAAGGTAAAAACCTGATTGTTTTTGACTGTAACTTGCAGGGCTCCAAGTCGAATTAAGCGTTTTTCTGCTTCTTCCAACGAATCTCTGTCTGGAGGTGTCGGGAAGGGGAAATTTGGAACCTGAAATACAAGAAAACCTATATGAAAATAGGAACGTATATTAAAAAGGGATAAAATAAGAATCAAAAAGAAAGGCAGGAAATGAGAACTAGAAAATTTGTAAAATTATTACAATGGTAAGGAATGTTCCGGCCCATTAAGTCATTGAAAAGTCGTTTTACGACGGCGAGTTCTGCCAAATGCTATATTTCAGGAGAAATAAATCAAGTCTCTGTTCTGTACTTTGTCCAAGTGTCATCGCAGGATGAATTCAAAAAGGCGCTTGTTTCAGCTGCTGCTGAGTGACCGTATAACAAATTTCCCTCCTACTGTCTGGGGAACTGTTTTGCTGGAGACCACGGTGACAGCGGAATCCATTAAAACGTACAGTGGAGAACAGTAAGTTCAACAAAATTGCACATAAATGCGCAAAAAAATAGAAATTTTTCT